CAAAGGTTTTGATTGTGTGGTTGTCATTCTAATTCACTTTGGTATTTCAATTCTTTTAAATATGATTTTCCTTTATATTTTCATTAGCAAGTAAATTTGCTTTTCCTTAGAATCTTGTCTTTCAATGTCAATTTTTAAAATCAGCTTGTCTTGTTCTAAAATGGAAGAAATCCTATTGATACTTCTATTGAAATTATAGTCTTTTATGGAATTTTTTAGGCAGAACTGAGAATTTAAGATACTGAGTCTAAAAAAAATCTATTCAAGTCTCTTTGTGCATAACTCAGCATTTTAAATTATCCTTCCAATAGATCTTGCACAGTTTTCTTATATTTTTATATAAGTATTTTGTTGTTGCTATTATGAATGGATTCATTCTTTCTTCACATCTTGTGGTGGTTCTTATATATGTAGCAGTAGTAATAATAATAGAAAAAAAATGTACTAAGTATTGAGTGTGCAAGGCCATTGTTAGAGCATGGACCTAAAAGTATCCCCTAAAGATATTTTGTTAGACAAGACAGCAATGTTCAGAGGTGATACAGTTGGATTAAGAGGGCTGGATTGATCCAGCTTGATGAATTAACAATTTGAATGGACTACTGGGTGGTAACTGTAGGCAGGTGGGTCATGATGGGAGAAAGTAGGTCACTGGGAGCATGACCATGGGCTATAGATGTCCTGGATCCTTCCTCCCTCTCTGCTTCCTAGCTCCCATGTGCTGAACAGCTTTCCTCCACCAGGCCCTTCTACCATAATTTGTCTGCCTTGGCGCCAGCCAGTGATGGTCTGAACCTCTGAAATTGTGAACCAAAATAAATCTCTCCTCTAAAAGTTGTTCTTGTCAGGTATTTTTCATCAAAGCTGACTAACCATAGTAATGTTATATTTTAGGTCTCTCAACTCAATCTTCATAAATAACAGTCATCATTCAGGCCTTGTATGCAAGAGTGGAATTCACTCTAGTTATATTAAGGATAAGGAATATATTAAAAAATATTTCCATAATTTATAAAATTTCCAGGAAGGACAGAGACTACTGTTTGGATGCTGCATGGCTAGGGGAAAATAAATGGAGCCAGGATAAAGGTTCAAACACTATTATACAGATTCTAATGGACACTGCCCCCACCTTGTGCCACTTAACACCTTGCTGCCAGGAACTTAACTCCAGAACTTGATCAGGACACACACTGTGTTCACAAGAAATGCAGATTCCCTACATGCCACTCCTACCCCTCATTGTCCATATACACATGTAGGTTTGTCTCATGTGGATTCATCTCTTTGCAGAATCTATGCCAATCTGTAACCCTTACTACAGAAGAGGCTGGGCAACATCATTCATAACATTTCAATCTATGCAGTAGGAGAAGGCATAATAAATGAAGGAAAAGACATCTGTCATATAGACATTAGAGTCATTATAGACTCTCTATAGAAATTCATATACTTTTCCATCTATTATTTTTTAAATATATTAGTAGATATTTTAATATTTATACATTATTTCATTCCTAGAATCAACATAACTTGTTTATAGTAATTATTTTTATAACATATTCTTCATTCTGGTTGAGAGAGACAGTAGAATATTTGTCTTAATAATCAAATGACATTGATCTTTTTCAGCTTTTTGCTTATTTTTAATAATTCTTGAACCAATATTGATATTTTATGATCACCTATATTCCATGGTTTACATTAGAGTGTGTCGTGCAGTTCTGTAGGTTTTGACAAATGTATATAATAACATATTCCAGCACTGCAATATCATACTGAAGGTTTTACTGCCCTAATTCACTCTTGGGTTTCATCTATTCGTCCCTTCCTCCACACTCTCAAACCTCAGGCAGCCACTGATCTTTTTACTGTCTTTATTGTTTTGTTTTTTTCAATGTCATATCACTGGAATCATACACAACATATTCTTTCAGATTGGCTTCTCTCACTTAGCAGCATGCATTTTAAGGTTCCTCCATGACTTTTTGTGGCTTGCTAATTAATTTCTTCTTATTACTGAACATTTCATCGTTAGAATATACCATGCAAACATTTATCCTTTACCTATTGGATGACATCTTGATTGTCTCCAATTTTTGGTGATTAAAATAAATCTGCTATAAATATCCATGAGCAGATTTTTCAGCTCATTTCAGTAAATAGCAAGGAGTGCAATTGCCATATCATAGGGTAAAAACATGCTTAGTGATGTGAAAAACCACCAACCTGTCTTCCAAGGTGGCTGTCCTGTTTTTCATTCTTGCCATTTGTTTACTGAGCATTTGAGTTTTCTCTTTTGTGATGTGTCAGTGGAAATCTTTTGCTCTTTTTCCTTTTAGATTATTTGTCTTTTTATTATTGAGTCATCTGCCATTTATATCATCTCTGTCAGTTATAGGATTATTCAATATAATGATCCAATAATAATACAGAAGCATAGCTCAGACAGAAAACAGAATTGTATTCCATGCAAAAATCATAGACAGATTAGAAGATATTTTTAAAGAACATATTAGGCAGATATTTTTTACTTAAGTTGAGGGAGGCTAGAAAAATGATATGAAACTCAGAAACCAGAATGACTTAAAAAGTTCTATAAGGTGAAAGTGACTGTGAAAGTTTTTAACAAACAATGTGCTGACAGAATTGATTTGTCATACATAAGTAGTTTCGACAAATCAATTAATGCTGAACAAATCATGCAATAAAAAAGCAAACAGCCAGGCATGGTGGCACACACCTATAATGCAAGTGACTCAGGAGGCTGAGGCAGGAGGATTGCAAGTCCAAGGCCAGTCTCAGCAATTTAGCAAGTCCCTCAGAAACATAGTGAAACCCTGTCTCAAAAAATAAAAAATATCTGGAATGGAGTTCAGTGGTAAAGTACCTCCAGGTTTAATCCCCAGTACCAAAATAATGATGATAATAATAACAAATTTTAAAAGGAATAAACAAAGGATATAAGCAAGCAAATTTAAGAATTAAAAAAAAACATTGGTTTTTCAACTATCAAATATGCTCAATGTTACTAATAATAAGAGAATGCAATTTAAAATGATGAGTTATCTTCTAATGAATTTAAATTAAGATTGTAGGACCACGGACCTTCTATCGATGAGTTTTAAATTTAAAATTTTGGAAAGTTTAAAAAGTAGTTGCTCAGTGTATTAGCCAGATTTCTTCTGCTGTGACATAATAACTTAGAAAAATAAACTTATAAAGAGGAAATGTTTATTTTGGCTCATGGTTTCAGTCCATGGTCATTTGACCCTATTGCTTTGGACCTGTGGCAGTATAACACATCATGGTAGGAGCATGTGCCAGAAGAGGTCTATTCACATCATGGTGGTTGGGAAACAGAGAGAAACAGGGTGACGGTTTCAATATTCCCTTCAGGGCATACTCCCAATGACCTAACTTCCTTCCACTATATTCCCCCCTCCTAAGGGCTCCACCCTCTCCCAAAATCATCACCCTGGGCCCCAAGCTTTAAAGGCATGGACTTTTGGGGGATACTCTGAATCCGAACTGTAGCACTAGGCATGTTTAAACTGTTCATTAGCCTATGGGGACTAGTAGCTACAGTATTGGGCTATATTACCATTTCCATCACTTCAAAACCATTCTATTAGATAGTTTTGCTCTGTAGGAGTAATGTAAAGGAATGCAAGAATTTTAAAACGATGAATTCAGTATGAGCTAAGATTCTTTTTTGATCTAACAGTTTCACTTCTAAAAACCTATCAGCACAGAAATACTTTCATGGAGCAAAGAAGTGTGTGTGTGTGTGTGTGTGTGTGTGTGTGTGTGTGTGTGTGTGTGTGTGTATGCACAAATTCATACATATACAGCTTTGTAAATAGATATACAGCTATATTTACTAAAATGTACCTTTTTAACAACACAAATGGAAAGAACTCAAAACACAAATGTATCATCCATCATAAGGGAAATAATTAAATACATAATTACTTGCCTACTATAGAATTTTATGCTTCTATAAAGAAAATTATCTAAGTTGTTAAAAATAACCAAAAGATATTTTAAAGAAATTATTATACATAATAAATGTTAGTGGGGGGGGAAACAAGATGATATGAAGAGTAATTGGCTATTTTTAATATATATCTCTGCTAATTTCTGGTGCTGCATGACATTCCCTGTACTGCAGTCAGATCCAATTTCCTAAGAAAAACTGAAAAGGTTGCCCTTCTATTGAAATCCCTCCAAGTCACCTTATGACTCTGTGTGATTTGCCCTTTCTGTGGAAGCTATGTCCCTTTGTCCTCTGAGCTGGGGACTTCGTACCTTCGCAGCCAATCCTCACCTATCATTCATAATACAAAGAAAACCAGCTATTTGCCTTTCTCAGAAAATTCCTGGACTTCCCTCTACTAACAGTCCTTATCCTAGCTTCTCCCACCACACCACAGGGACACAAAGAAATCAAATCTCGCTGATGCCTAGCACCCTGGCGACGCACAGCAGGAAAAAAAACAACAAACAAACAAACAAACAAACAAACAAAAACACCCGGCAAAATGTGCACAGGAGCTTCCCCTTGCCTGGGCGCACGGCTGAAGCCTCTGGAGCCTCTCGCAGCCAGGGCTGCTTCAGGAGCAAGGGCTGGGACACAGAGCTTGCGATCCCGCACTCTGATTGGCGGTTATAGTCAAGAGTCTGTTTCAACTCTGGAGGGTTCTGGTGTTCCTTGCTTCTTCTGCTGGGGGAGCCCAGCCGAACAGCCACAGTCAGGAGAGGAGAGCGGCCAAGAGACATCCGATTCCTACCCTTGTCCCAGGGTGCACAGACACCCTACAGGGCGAGGACACAGCGGGCCTTGGTGAGCTCTCCTGAATTCCCCGCATTTCTCCATTCCTTCTCTATTCCTCAAACTGCTCTCTGTTCCCCTCCAACCCAAACGACAGCAGCCCCTTTTTCCCATCTCGATTCTTACGCACCTTTCGCTCCATTCGGCCACGCGCGCCCAACGCACCGCCCAGAAAACGAACTGGATGCGTTGGACCGGGCGCGCGCCTTTGGGACCGTCAGCTAGACCCGGCCCCCAGGAGAGAGTCCCCTCGGTCTCTACGGGGGGGAACCCCACCCCTGGCGATCCTGCGCCTCTAGCGGCGGTTCAGGGAAGTCGGACTCGCCAGGCTGGAGCTGCCCCTGCAACTCCCGAGGAGGGAACAGACAGACGATGAGGTCCCAGCAGACCTTTCTCTGTCAAGGCCTCCTGCTCCCCGTGTTGGGTCTGGCCCTGCTCCTCCTTGACTCTCTGGGCGATGACTTACTTTTCCACCAACTGGAATTTGACTCCTACGAAATCACCATCCCCAAGAAGCTGAGCTTCTGGCGAGAGGAGCAGGGTGTCCCCAGTTCCGTGGCCTACCTCCTGCAGTTAGCAGGTAAGAAGCACATCATCCACCTGTGGCCCAAGAAACTTCTGTTGCCGCAACATCTCCGTGTTTTCTCCTTCACAGAAGAGGGACAACTGCTGGAAGATCACCCTTATATACCCAAGGACTGCAACTATATGGGCCTGGTGGAAGGATTTCAGGACTCGGACGCCACTCTCAGTACATGCATGGGGGGACTCCGAGGCGTACTGAGCATCGATGCCAAACAGTACCAAATCGAGCCCCTCAAGGCCTCGTCCACTTTTGAACATGTTGTGTACCTCCTGAAGGATGAGGTTAGCAATCAGACCTGTGGTTTAACTGATGATGAAACAGAAAGGCAAATGGCCCAGCAGGAGGATATGGCTAGGATAAGTGACTATACTATGTCCTATAAACACCAAAAGTATTTGGAATTGGTCATGATCTTTGATACTAGAAGATTTGAGTTTGTGAAACAGAATCTCTCTCTAATTCTCTATGATGCTATTCTTTTGACTGGGATTATTGACACCTACTATCAAGATATCAATATGAGGATACATCTAAAAGGCATTGAAGTATGGAGAGATGAAGGCCTGATACGTACTGATCATCCGGCTTTAGCTGATGTATTAAAAGAATTTATACGATATAGAAAATACACAATAACTACTCGGATTACCACAGATTGGGTACACTTATATATTTCCAGAAAATATATAGATGCCCTTGCACTTTCCTGGGGAAGAGTGTGTAGTACAGATTTATCTGGATCAATAAGTACCTTTCTAGATGAAAATGTCCTTGGACCTGCCACTTGGACTGCTCATGAACTGGGCCATTCTGTGGGAATGTTACATGATAAAGAATACTGCCAATGTAGAGGTAGGAAGAGCTGCATCATGGGCACAGGACGAACTGGATTTAGTAATTGTAGTTACGAACTTTATTTTAAACACTTGTCTCAAGCAGCGAAATGCCTAAATGATATCCCACAACCACATTATATAAACAGCAGATGTGGAAACAGAATTATTGAACAGAATGAGGAATGTGATTGTGGTTCAATAGAAGAATGTGAGGAAGATTTGTGTTGTAGAGCAGACTGTAAATTGAAACTGGGTGCCAACTGTAGCGTTGGACTTTGCTGTGACAAATGTAACTTTCTTCCATCTGGATATGTGTGTAGGGATGAAGAAAATGAATGTGATCTTCCAGAGTATTGTTATGGGAACTCAGATAAGTGCCCAGCTGACACTTACAAGCAAGATGGGACCCCTTGCAGTTATGAAGGCCGATGTTACAATCAAAAGTGCCGATCCAGATACATGCAGTGCCAAAGCATTTTTGGACCTGATGCTAGGGAGGCTCCTAGTAAGTGCTATGAGGTAATTAATATACAAGGCGATCAGTATGGTCACTGTGCGATAGAAGATGTCCATACATATATAAAGTGTAAGAAGGAAAATGCGATATGTGGAAGGCTGCAGTGTATAAATGTCAAAGTGATCCCTGATTTGCCAGACCACACAATTATAATGTCCACCCATCTGGAAGAGGACAATATCATCTGCTGGGGCACAGGCTACCATCTAAGCATGCATCCCATGGGGATACCTGACATAGGTATGATATATGACGGCACATCCTGTGGCGAGGACCAGGTATGTTTTAAGACAAATTGTGTCAATAGCTCAGTCCTGAAATTTGACTGTGTGCCTGAGAAGTGCAACGGCCGAGGCGTTTGCAACGCTAATAGAAACTGCCACTGTATGTATGGCTGGGACCCTCCATTCTGCGAGGAGTTCGGGTATGGAGGGAGCATTGACAGTGGACCCCCGGGACCACGGAAGGAACTGGTGCCCCCAACAATTCAGGTTATGTCTGTTATGCTCTTGCGCCTGGTTTTATTTATCATCTCAGCAATTATTGTGTGTTTCAGGCAACTAATAGTAAAATGTTTACAACCCAAACCAAAGAAACCACAAACTAACATTAAGACAACAGATCCCGAGAAAGAAACGAATAAAGTAAACAAGCAATCCTTAGTCATTTGATAACATAGAGTCAGTTGTTTAACAAGCTTATCATTGATCCCAACGGCTCTTCATTCTTCTCCAAAAAAATTTAACTTAAATTTCACACACAACATGATCAGCAAATAAATGACATTCTTGTTTTGGAAAAAAAAAATCAGTGCATTTTATTTTCCTAGTATTCACACTTGTCCCTCCATTTGTAACCAATTTTGGGTGACCTGAAAAGAAAGCCCTAATGGCATTTCTAAACACTAACCCTCTGAAATTATCATGTTGTTGTTGTTGCTGTTTTGTTTTGTGGAACTTTGGACTGAAGATTGAACCCAGGGCCTGGTGCATGCTAGGCAAGTACTCTGCTACTGAGCTACATCTCCAGCAATCCATGGTTTTGAAGGTGTAGCCCTGCCTTAAAATTCCAGTAAATGAAGTAATGATCTACCTCTCCCTCCGCGTCCTATAACTTGCTCACTGCTGAGAGCTGCACTGAGCCCCATCTTGCATGATAAGTGAAGATAACACATTTTATAAATAAACAACATGAAATTAAAGGCTGTGCCTTCAATGAGCATTTTCTCTGTCAAGCCTTTCTCCTGGTCTCTCTGGCTCTACAAGGCGGGGTCTTCTTGTAGCACTTTTGGGGTGACCTCAACTGGGTAAACTCTACTGACCCATCATAACACCTGCATTAGGCCACAGTCTATAGATGATTCCCATCTTCAGCAGTGTCCGAATGTGAGCAAATTTCTGTGTTTGGGTCATACGCTTGCTGGGCAGTCTTTTTTGAGTTTATGCTGAGGGACACCTGGCCTAGGACTGCCACACTCCCAAGTACAAAAGAGGCAAGCAGGGATGCCTTCCACCTCCAAGGACCTCCATGTCTCTGCCTCCATATCTCTGTCCCCTCCACACTGCTCCTTGGGTGGGAGGTGAGGACTGAGTGGCATGTGACAAGGGGGTGGGTGCCCAACTCTCATATTCAGGCAGGGGCTTGGCCCTCCCAGACCTCTCAGTCCAAGGTGCTGGGCTTGCAGGAGGCTGGGTTTTCCTGCTCTTCTACTCCTGCTCATAGTCCCCTCCCTCCCCAGAAGTGTATGACCCTGAATCATAGCTACATACTGATAGTGGTGGCTAACATTCCTCAGAGCATACGAGGTGTCAGGCAGTGTTCTAAGAGCTTCATGTGTATCACTTTGTATGCAGCTTAAAATAATTCTGTGAGGTTGCTGTTGTTTTTTCCAAATAGAAAATGAGTCACAGCAGGGTTAACCTATGCAGGTTTATACAGGTTATAAATAATGACATTATACAAGAAAAATTTAATAGTAATTCAGGAACTATATTTAGAGAGGAACATTTATTAAGAAACCCTAAAGATATTTTTACATTGCAAATGTTTTTACAGTTTTCACTGGGGTACATAGAATGTTGACCATTTTTGTGGACAGTTCAGTAGTGTTTAGAATATTCACATCGTAGTGTTTAGAATATTCACATCATAATGTTCAGAACTCTCTTCTTTTTTTTTTGAGGATCAAACAGAATAAAATTATATTTTTAGTCAAATTATTTATAATCTTGTAAATTTTAAAAGTATAAAGTAAAATACAGGCTAAATGAATTTTCAGCTACCATAAAATTTTAAAATATTAGCTGATTCGTTGAAAAACAAATACAATATAGAAACCACAATGATAAATTTCACTTTAATCATATTAAAGTCAGAAATATGAAGACTGGCTCAGTTTTTCTTTAATTTTCCAAATATTACTTATTTCCTACTTTCTTTTTACTCTATTTTAACATTCATATAATAATACATTTGTTCTAGAAAAGTGTCTGTGATTACAAATAAAAATATGCCTCCACAAGCCCTTAAATAAATACCATGTAAACTACTGAAATGTCAACATCAAATTTCTACTTGACTAAAGAAAATTATTAATGTTAAGTGAGCATTGTTTCACTTGTAATGCTGACTTTAAAGAGATCTGGAAATAAAATGTAGTAAAATTATTGCTTCCAAAGTTAAGTTGGCATGATCCCGAAGACATTGTGCTAAGTAAACCAGTCACAGAAAGAAAATTAGTATAAGATTCTGCTTATGTGAGGTATCAAGAATAGTCAGATCTATAGTTTTATTTAAACTTTATAATTTTATTTTAAAAATTTAATCTATACAAGATAGAATTCAAACAAAAACATACTGCACCAAAGCAGTAAGTTGCTGTAAGTTGAATGCCTTTCAGATATCTCATAAATATTAATACCCTTTCGGGTACTGTTTATTCTAGGTAACTAATCCCAACCCCATCTCTTGACATCTCAATGCATCTTCAAAAGCCATCCTTTTACAATCTTTAAAATAAAAGGGGTATCCTGGCATCTAGTTATAAAATTTTATATATGTTATGATATATCTTCTGCTTTTTAACCACAGCACTGATTTAATTTATTTGCATGTTAAGTAGTACAATAAATACTTCAAAAAATCTTAAGTGAAGTTTCACAATATATTACTTTGCCAGATAATAAAAAATTCATGTGTAAAACAAGATGTAATTATTTTCATTATTTTAAAAAACTAACATTTATTGTACAATCCCTAGAAGTGTAAAATAGCTATTCTTTTAATTTACAGAATCAAGGGAAGCATTTTAAATGTCAAAACATACATGCTGAGTGAGATTGAGTATATAATCACCAAAAATCTAAAAAAAATTACAAAAATTGTTTAAACACATAAGGTGCATTTACTTATGAATAACATTCAGTTTGAGGGAAGAAAAAGTACCCCAACAGTTATTAATATTTACAAAATATCTGCAAGGACTCCAACTTACAGCAAAATAACAAATACTGCTTATAGGTTATTTTTATACAAGCTTATTGCTGAATTGGGAAGCACATCTATTACTACTCTTGGTTTTAGAGACAACTGGGCATTAAGACAAAAAGTCCTTTTGAACAGCACACATAAAGAACAATAAGGATACAAATAAATACCAAGGATGGCCTGAATTTGCAGAAATGTTAAGGATGCGTCCCCCAGAAATAAGACTGAAGGAAATATGGAGAAAATGGAAGGAAGCACACTTTATTGAAAGTGTGGGAGACTCATAAAGAAGAAACTACATGTAAATATTTTAAGAGCATGCAGCCATCTTGGTGTGTGCATGAGCATTATCTCTTTTGATATCAGGGTTTTTTATTGCTAAAGTAAGTAGATGTCTTTGTAAATAGTTCTCATAGGCAAATCACTGAACCATTTTTAAGCACATTTCCTTAAAAGTACAAATGTTTAGACTGCTATGTTTAATAACATACATCACTTCTAAAAGCATACTTAGTGGACTACTGATCAGATTGTGAAAAACATGTTGATATATATGGTTGCTGTGAATATCAGTCATGGAATAGCATGGCTTTTATGGAAGAGATTTTGTATATAAATATATGTATAGATATATGTCTGGCCTTGTGATGACATTATCTTTTAAAGTCAAAAGAGATTTAACTAGTCATATGTGTAGTGTCACCTTATAGTCCATTTCTCCTGATGTACCTCTTTTCTTAGTCTTTATTTTCCCTTCCCAAGAAACCAAGAAATAAAATGTTGGATATGAAAACTCATGTCATATTTGTGAAGAGTACAACAAATTCTTTAATGCACTCAGCAAAAAGTCAATATAAAAATGTAGGTGTCCTTTAGGACCACAGCTTCTGAATTTTGTAGTAGTGGTATCACTAACTTATACAAGCTATTTAGAATGAAGCTGGAGGTGGAAACTCCATAGAGTTGGAGAACCAGCCAGGTCCCCTCCCTGACTCAATTAGGTCATTTAGGACAGATAAAAACAGGATATTTAGAGCAATACTGGTATATATTTTCCTTATTTGTTTTTAGCATTGACTAAGTGATTTGAAAAGAGCTATGTTTTAATATCATGACACTTTTGATTTATAAACTGAGAAATTAATTTTCTACTTACTTCATCTAACTTTGTAACAGCAATTATTGCCCAAAGCTATAGTGGCATATTTAGAAAAGTGCAGATTACTGAGTAGACTGATAATATTTTTTAAATAATTTTATTTGATCCAAAATGACTTCATTCCCAATTCTACATAAAAATATAAGAGATCCAACTTTTTCCTTAACATAAGATGTTTACAAAGTTACTTAGTTTTATTTACTTTAATTTTTCTAGGGCATTAAATTCCTATTATCTATGAAGTATCTTAAACTGGAACATAAAAATTTTTAATAATCCAAACTGCCTTTCACAGTATAAGGCAGCCCAGAATTCTTTTCATCTTGCAAAATTGAAAATTCTACATCAACAGCTCTCTAGTCTTCCCTCTCTCCATCCCTGGCCATTCCCATGCCTCTTTCTGTCACTATAGAACTGACTATTCTTGATACCTCACATAAGCAGAATCTTCTGCTATTTTTTTTCTTTTTGTGACTGGTTTACTTAGCACAATGTCTTCAGGGATCATGTATGTTGTAGCATGTCTGTAAGAGAAAAAGTCTGAGATATCCTGCATTTAATACAAGGACTAGTGGGTGGAGGAGAGGCAAGATAAGAAAAATTAATCAGCTAATAGCTATAAGCCAAACCAACTAAAGACTCTTCCACATTTCCAACCATATGACCTAAACCCCACAGGAAAGATGTCCAGGTGCCATTCATTGCAACCGACTTACAACCTTAACCAATTCAAAAGCAACCAGTACTTCTCCTTATGGACTGTCGTCCTATCCCCACACTTTCCACACTTGGGTGTTATCCTCTCCCTCTTATCCATAGCCAATGTTGATTCAGTTTATGTTTTCCTTCTCCAAATCTCTGTTACAAAAATACTCTTGGTTTATAGCCTGGGGATGTGGCTCAAGCGCTAGCGGGCTTGCCTGGTATGCATGTGGCCTGGGTTCGGTCCTCAGCACCACATACAGAGATGTTGTGTTCGACGAAAACTAAAAAATAAATACTAAAATTCTCTCTCTCTCCCTCTCTCTTTAAAAAAATACTCTTGGTTTATAGGTACAAAGGACAATTTTTCTAACTGCTATCTAGCCCTGCTACTGGAAGTTGCAAATGCTTGTCCAAGGGTCTGACCCTTTTCTGGCTAGCATCTGTAATGGCTCAATACTCCCTTTGATTTCAAAGATCCCTCAGTCTCAAGTGTTGTTTTCACCATGTATTGGAATTTCTTTCTTTGGTAAGGCTAGATAATATTTGAATTTAGCTATATTCTACACGGTATTTTACCATGCACTGAATACTTGAGTTGCTTCTACTTTTTTTTTTTTCCGATTGTGAGTAGTGTTGCTGTGAACAAATATTTGTTCATTCCCTTGCTTTATTTGGGGTATATATTTACAAATGGAATTGCTAGATCATATGGTAATTGTATTTTTAAGTTTTTTGACTGCCCTACTGTCTTCCACAGCAGCTGAAGCCTTTTAAATTCCCTCAACAGTGCACATGTGTTCCAATTTCTCTGTATCTATCCTAAAACTAGAATTT